TTCCTGCTGTCATATAAATTAAATTGGGAGGGTTTATGAAGTTTTACATACTCAAAATTAAAAGCTGAAGAAAAATTGTCTTAATAACATGGTTATTGTTTGTAATGTTTGTGTAGTGCTCAACCTGCTATTAATCCAAAATCCAAGTAATTAAAAATAGGTTGTAACTATTTCCTTTTTTACAATTTTCTGTTAAAATCAGATATATGAACAGGCAGTGGGTCATAAATACTGGTCATAAAAAAAGTGAAGTGTTTTCAAAGTCAACCCAAAATGTTTTTGTAGTTCAATGTAGTTCCCAGATACTGAAAAATCAGGGAGGTAGAACACATCAGGGTTTGCTCGTATCATACATCTGGCCTTTTGAAATCTGTGATCATAAATAAATATTGCACGGTTGTCCAGTTTGAAGCTTATATTTAAGTTGAATGGGGGTAAAGAACAGGTTTTCTTCAAGTGTATTGGTAGGTAATTGTTTTATTTTTGTTTTATTTTGATAGATAATAATTTAATAGGTTATTGTAATCAGTACTTTTGTTTCCACAGGCCAGCCCAGCAACATCTACAAAGTTTGGCCATTATTATGATGTTTCTAAAAAAATGTCTCCCGAACTGTTCCGGTCCATAAAATGGCACAGTTTTTACCTTCCTGAAAAATTGTCTTCAGAGCCTAAAATGAAAGCAGGGTAAGTTGTAATCCCACGCACTCTGCTGTCTGCATATTAGTCTGCATATTAGTAGTAAAGGATATTTTTGCATCTGGCCTTGCTGTGATTAATCTTGTAGCCACACATGGCTCACCAGCAGTTCAGCTGTGGTTCTCATGTCAGTGCTAGATGCCATGACTGGCAGCAAAGCTGCTGTGGCACAGAGACAGCTCAGTCTACTGCCTCCTCAGCTGTGGGAGGAAGCAAGTTGGCAGGGACAATTAAGGCAGACATTACTAGGACAGCCTAGGACACAGCTGCCTGTTCAGTCCAGCCCTGCTGACAGCTGAGTGTGGTGACTGGGGAAAACTATTACTGTCTGTCTGTGAACTACTTCCTGAGCACCATGCCCCATCAGCTTTTGGAAACGTGTGTGTCAGGTAACTATCCGTCTTAGGAAGATATCCATACAGGCTTTAGGGATAAGAAGACAGTCCATCCTTGACCTACATAGAATAGAAAGCTTTATCTGATTATTTTCTTATGTGGCTTTCACTTCTGACATCCTACAGATTCACCTAAGGAAAGCAGAAGATACTTTGAATGGAATTACTGTCACTAATTATGTCTTATACAGCAGCCCTAATTCCAGAGAAAATCATAAACTATGATTAATTAATAACTTATTACAGTTTATGTCTATCAGTAAGGAATTAAGGAAGACCAAGAGAAAATAAGTTACAGTAGCTCACTACTAGCCTGTAGTTCACACGTATCTTTCTCGGAGACATTTCAAATCAAACATCAGATACAGACAATCTCTTTGTTCAGCCCAGTCACTTAATTTATATAGTACTTAGTTGTATAGACCCATGTATAGGGCCAACTCCTGGAAGTAGTAGTACATTGTGCTTTCTTGTGACTGATTTTGTTACAGTACACTCAAGTATAAAAACAGATGTATGAAAGAAGCACAGTATTAAGCACTTCTCTTAGAGCTGTAAAAAGCAAAAGCCAAGTCACTTTGTAAGTTCTGTGTTAGGTGTTCAAATGTCCCTGGTTTGTAATTCTTGTGATGTTGTAAAAAAAAAATACACTTTCAGCAGAAAGCAGAGAACTTCTTTCTCTAATAAATATTTAAACCAACTTTATTTATTATATGTAATCATTTATAGGTTTTTTTAGTAGTAGGGCCATAGAGGATAGATGCTAGAGCATCTGACAGCTGAAGAGCTTATATTGTTATTGAGCACTTTAGCTCCCTTCCTGTCTTTTCTGTAGCTAACTAGAATATCTTCTGATTCTGGACTTAATTTTACTAACTGTATGGCTGTCAAGTATTTGTACATTTTGCATTAATATAAAATTAACTCACACTAAAGGAAATGCACTACTAACTTTTACAGATTTGATTTTATAATCCTTGATTATCTCTGATATTTTCCTTGTGTGCTATCCTGATAAAAATTCACCATTCTTACCACATGAGCTCTGTTCTTAATTTTAGTGTTAAATTTTGCCAATTTGCTAGTCAGATTGGTAGAGCACAGCATGATGAGGTTGTGCAGTTTTTTATAGCATCCCTCAAGAAAATTCTGGGTCAGTTAGAGAAGATTCTGAAGATGATTCTGCATCTAGAACTGGAATTTATGGCCTGTGACAGAGGAATGGAAGTTCTTAGACAAACCTAAGCAGAATCTTGAAGCACATTGAAAACTGACATACAGAGAGCAGTTAGTAACTGTTGTCTGCTGAAGGTAGGACAAACAGTAATGGGCTGTAGTAAACTGTAGCAGTAGAAATACAAACTGGAAATAAGGAGGTACTTTTCTAATGATTAGCACAAGAAGAAGTTGCTTTGCAGACAGAGGTTGGGAGTACTGTAGAGTCTCAATCATTGAAGATTTCTAAGGACGAGTTAGGTAAATATCTGTCAGAGATGGTTTAGATGCAATTCATCTTGCCTTGGGGCAAGCAGATAGACTACCTGACCTCTAGAGGTCTGTTTCATCTCTATCTTCTGTGATTCTTTAATACACATTAGTCACAGTGTATTAAATCCAATACTGAGAATGGATGTTACCAATTATTTCACTGCTCTCAAATCGTTTATGCTTTTACAGAAACCCAACAGGCTTGTACTTTGTATAAATTCTGAAGGGAGCATTCATTTCTCAAGGAATGAAAACAAGATCACAGTCCTGTCAGGATGATTTCATTACAGAAAGTTTATAAAAGGGGAAGGGAAAGGATATTATTTTGTTGGCATTACTGTTTTGAAAACCTATACAATGCTTCTGGCTTCAAAAGTTGTCTTCAATATATCATAGAGTAGTAAAAAATTCTGTTCTCTTGGTTAACTTAGACAGTGATTAGAAAGAAAGCAATATGATAGTTACAGTTAACCCTTCCAATACAAGTCAGCGATTTTATTAGACCTCATCTTTGATTGCCTGAAGGTCTCACCAAGAGCTTGAGCTAATCTCTTTTACTCTGTGGTACAGGGAACTAGGAGCATGGACATGGCTAGTTATCATGTCTCCATTTGGAGGGTATAATTTCTTAAACATAAGTTTCTGAGACTATGGTCTTAGATGCAGAGCCAAAAACACACCTGGTTATGTAATACTGATTACTTTTATAGCATTGAAAAATCTCTGTAATCTGTTAGGCTGACAGTATCTCGGAAAAGTATTGATAACCTGCAACGAGCTAAAAAAATGTTACAAAAATTACTTGAAATTCAGAAAATCTCTAAAAATACTATTTTTTCAACTTCATTTATCAAAAGAAGATTGACAAAAAATGTGTTTAAATTGAAAGCTGAAAATCCTTCACTAATAAGGAAGCATTTTTAAAAAAGGGGATTGTTCGTTATTGAAATAATTTACATGAATAGACTGTGTATTATGGGATGTTTTTGAAAGATTTCATGACTTTCTAAAAGGTATATATTGCAAGATATGTTTCAGTAAAGACATTTATGAATGAAAGTTTATCTTAAATCGTGTAGGAGTGCAGACCAAAATCAGTGGTGTGTTTTCTGGGGTTTTTTTATTCAAAGAATGTTTTGCTTTTGTCACTAATTCAGAGGCTGAGGAGGAAGTTGAAATTGATAGTTCTGCCTAGTATATAATTTTCTGTAAGTTAATGGTATTGTTGATGGATGATACCTCTTTGTAGTATCAGAAGACACAAATAATTAGAAATTTACAAAAGTGCAACTACAACCATTGAAGAGGCACCTTAAATTATGTAGTCATATGGAAAGTGTACCTAACCCAACATACACATTGTACACTGAGATCATAAGCTATATGTTGTGCGATGAGTAGCTAATAATTGTAAAAGAAGATTTAAGAAGCTGAGGATTATTTTTTTTTTTTTTTTTTTTTACTTTTTTGATTAAGTTATCATATGTTCCAATGTGAGGAGGGTATTCCCTAAGTGCTCTCCTTTTTGTGTGTTGTTTCTGTTTTCCTGATAGAGACCTACTACTTTTTATGTTCCTCAATTCATGTACTTAATCTGTAACTGGTTAGATGCACCTAGAATTCACCTTGTTGACCAGCCTTACTTTTCCCTTTCTTTTTCAGTTAGAAGGTGAATAGCTTTTGGAGGCCTTAGGTTTCATTTTTCCTCCATGAAATTCGGAACAATTCACTTCCTCCACCCTTCTTTTTCTTTGGGAGGGAGTGGTGAACATGAAGAACAATAATTTGTTCTCCTTTCCTTTCATCAGTCAGGGTCATATGTTCCAATGTGAGGAGGGTATTCCCTAAGTGCTCTCCTTTTTGTGTGTTGTTTCTGTTTTCCTGATAGAGACCTACTACTTTTTATGTTCCTCAATTCATGTACTTAATCTGTAACTGGTTAGATGCACCTAGAATTCACCTTGTTGACCAGCCTTACTTTTCCCTTTCTTTTTCAGTTAGAAGGTGAATAGCTTTTGGAGGCCTTAGGTTTCATTTTTCCTCCATGAAATTCGGAACAATTCACTTCCTCCACCCTTCTTTTTCTTTGGGAGGGAGTGGTGAACATGAAGAACAATAATTTGTTCTCCTTTCCTTTCATCAGTCAGGGATGTAAAAACAAAAAACAGATTATGCAGTTAAAGCAGAAAATATACAAGAAAAGCAATGTCCTACATTTTCTTTTACATCTTATACTCTGCTAACAGAACAATGGGTAGAGTGAGCATAAAGTTTACAATCCTTGGCAAAACATGCTGTATCTTTTAATAAACAAGGTCCTTTGTCATAATGCTTTGTGGCATAAGAACCTATTTTATTTAAACTGTGAGTGAACTTTCTCTGTAATAGTAGCTAATGTCCATTGCCACATAATGACAGTGTTTCCCTTACAGACATGTGGAGGCTTTATTTGGGCCAGAAACTCTTGGCCTGTTTTAGAAATCATGTATATCTATACATATGTCCCTCTCTTCCTATCCACACAAGCACTGGCTTCTTTATGGACTTGCAAAGAAAGGAGATTCTTTGACTTGATTAGACAGAAAAAAGTGATTGACTAGCCTTTTACATCACAATTGAAGATCAGATTTTGAGGTTATACACAAAATTTTTTCACCTTTAGGTTTGAATCAATATTTCTTTTCTGTGTTTTTGCACACGTGTTTATCTGCTTTTTCACAGAGTGAGATGAGGAGTCCTGCATTTGCTTTCCTTTCTGTAGTTCTAGTACCTGATGGCTAAATTAGATTACAGGGTCCCCTTCTGGATAATCACTCAAGATGGGCAGAAGTTCATTGCCCCATGATAAACATTAATTGAAAACAGACTGGGAACTCTGTTCTCCTAAAGGAGGTAGTAAATGGAACTGTTGTTTGATGCCAAAAGAAGGCATAACTTCTTTTTCTTATCTCATTATTTTTGTGTTTGGGAAGGGCAGTTATGTTCTGGCCCTAATGCTAGGACCAGGTTAATGGGTTTGCTGCTGACAGCAACTGTGTTCCAGTTGTTGTTGCTAGGATATTTTAGTGTCCTTTTCATTGCATTGGTAGAGCTGGTACTTTACAGGAAAGCAAAAATATCCTCTGTGATAAGTCTCTGCTTTGCAGAAAAAGGCTTTACTTTCTACTTCTCTGCTTGTAGCCTCATTGTTCAGTTGCAATTACTAAAAGAGAAAGTCTGATAATTAAGGGAACTAAAATAATTAAGCTGTAGTTTTTCAAGAATACTTATAAATTTTACCCTAAGAATGCATGTGCTTTTGAAAAAGAATACATTTATCTGGAGTCTAGATTTGCTGATAAATTTAGATAAAACAGGTTTAACTGTCTTGCCTAATGGGGTCTCCTTTATACATAATAAGGCTATTTGTCATACTCTTGATAACCTAACCTTTGTTAACTGCTTAGAAACTATCAACAGAGAAGTCAGAGGCTCCGTTGTAACCGGGATACCTTCTTCCCAGCTCCTGCTTTATCCATTACTAAATTGCTAACAACAACAACAACAAAAAAAGAGTAAAGAAGGAATCGTTTAAACTCATTATCAGAATTAAATAGCGTTTAGTAACAAAGCCAAATAAAAGACTAGAAATTAGAAAATAAGGAATATCTTATTTCCTTCCTTAAGTATTATGGCAAACATTGCCAGAAGGGTAATGCAGCTTGTTTTTATAATGTTCCACAATAATGTCCATGTCCTTATTTACATAGTATGGTTCAAATTCAAGTAAACCATTAATATTTTAGCAAGAAGTAAAAGAGCACCTATTTTTACATTTAAAAAAAATAATCTAGATGCATGACATTATTTTCTTTAATTCTTTCTTTGCTGGAAATCTTTTCCTGATGGATTAATTGAAGATCTCTTTTATTAATCTGTTGTGATTTTGGGGCCCTTTAGTTCTGCTAATGCTTTAGGTGTCTTATTTTTATTTATAAAATGATTGAAACAATTAAGAATAATTTTAGAGGTAAAACTTTCAAAATAACCTGTCATATTTCCAAGAAGTTTTGAATCCACAACCCTAGTGGTGGTGGTAATTATCAAGACTAGAAGGAAATGCCGAAGCTGGAAAAGATAGATGGGCTTTGAACTCTCAGCTGCATTGAGGAACCTACAAGTGCAGACACACAAGGCAGTATGCTCTATGAGGTTTAAGAAAACAGTATGTCTCTTTAAAATGAGAACAACTGGCTTGTTTTTTGCAACTAAAGATTAGAATTTGCTGTCCTTTGTATGTGTTAGCCTGTGGACTGGTGAACATGACTGGGGTGCATATCTGGGGAAGTGATTTGGAGATGCAGGAATGGGGCCTTCTAATACTTCAATGAAATTATTTACTGCACTGTTGGTTTGAAGTCTGCTTAAATCCATTTTTTGCTACTAGTTTGCTTTTATTTTTTAATTTCATGTTATATTTTCTAAATAATATAGAAAATCAATTTTACCTCACAATTCTTCTGTCATGCAAATAAAGCAGTATTAACACTAACTGTATGGATACAAAATGGAACGGTAGCATAGTAGGATGGATCTTATGTTCTGCTGTGGTGTAAAAACAAAAAAAAAACAACACCCTAAAAAAAACTAATTAAGTACATTAACTTTTTAGTTGTGAAAATTACTCCTTCTATTTTGGTTGGTTTTGATTGTTTTAGCAATTGTATGCATGAAAGTTGTTAGTTGCAGAAAGTCAGCTCCTCATCAGGACATTGGTTAGGTTTACTTTGAATAACAACTGGGTAGGTCTTTGTCAATTGTAGGAGATTAGTACTATGTTGTAGTGGTTTCAACTTTAAGTTGATACCTTAAATCATTAATCTTCTAGATGTAAGTGAGCCTGACATAATTAAGTTATCTTAATCCTTAGAGATTTTAGCTTTCACTAAATGTCTGAGCACTGAACTAGTTAACATGAAGTAATCACAACTGCTTATAATGTCAACTTTATTCAAAGATATTTGGGTTTTTTCGTCTACAACACTTTTTTGTATGTGACACTTTTGGACTCAAAGCTACATCTGCTTATATGTATTTTTAATACAGCTGTTAAGACAATTTAGGGGAGAGCATTAAAACATGTTACTAAACTATTTCTTCTTACCAACAGTAAAATGAACAGTGCTTACACCAGGCTGCTTCAGTCCATTCAGCAGATCATTTACCAGGAAGGCTTTGATGGCTCTGATCCCCAGGTACTGAAGAATCTCATACTCGTCTATAATCCTGGAAATAATGTTGTTTTCTGAGTTTTCAAGGGTGGGACAAGAAGGTCTTGGACAAAGTAACAAGGGACCAACTGTTTCTAAGCATTGCTAAAGTAAACAACAAAGTGCATAGAGAGCACCATTCATATTTTAATGTGCATTTGGGATTTTTACCTGTAACAGATACACAGACCATTCAAGAAAGAATTGTAAGCCAACATCAGTCACATTCTGTGCAATTGGTTAGTAAATGGATTGCCAAATATAATGTAATTAAGCAAAACCCATTTTACTATACAGTATTTTTTTAAACTATTACATTAGCAATACTGTCTTCAAGACTCTTGAGATTGAACATTTCACCTAAAACTTTTAGCTTTCTAAATGTTGTTTTAACTAGAGTGGAATGAATTTTTTAATGAATTAACTGGTGTGTATCTTAATGTAGTGACCATTGAAACAAAGTAAAGAAACAAGAATGCAATTTCAACTTACAAATCAAAACAGCTTACCAGACTTCTAAAGATCTCTGTACTCCTTATAAATCATACCGTGGGTAAACATTGTAAACATAACAACACAGACTGGAAACCCTTTTCTAATTTGATATTCTGTGTCATATTCAGTAATAAGTGAGTCCTTTGGAGTTGATGAAAATTAAAAAAAAAAAAATAAATGCTTAATTGATAGATAATTGTCTTTATTGTTGTGCAATATGAATGTTACTACGGTAAAAGTTAATTAGTATAGATCCTGGAGAGCCTCGAAGAATGTAATAGAAGACTGTGTACTGTTACCAGCTGAATAGCTTAGAAATCATTTTTGCAGGGAAGATAATGTTGTAATGGATGTTTTCAGTTCTAACCGTGTGTTTTAGGAATGTTACCTGCACAGAACACTTGTGTGTAAGTTTAGGTTATTTGTGCTCAGTATTTAGTCTCTGCTGAGATTTCTGGAAGAGCTTGCCCTTCCCTTTGGTGGCAGTGCCATTCTGGAGAAGTAAATTGGTCCCTGACAGGCACCTCTCCCAGCTTGCTATGGTAGCCATGGCAACAGGGGTATCACCTGCTGTACAGCACCATGCGCAGGATGCTCCTCCTGCACAGTGACAGCTCCTGTGGAAGCCCAAGAGCTGCTGTCTGCAAGGAGCAGTGCTGAGTGAAACACACACCCTGCCATCCTGCAGCCAGTGAACAACCTCCCCCTGAAGAGATCAGCCTGGTGTTTCCTTTTTTTATTAAATAGAAAAGAAAATGAAGGTTGGTCAGAGCCAGTATGTTGGGGTTTTCTGCTTGCAAGCAGGGAAAAATTAAATGTCATGGGTAGTTATTTTCTGTCCTTGTTCAATGTTTCAAAATGTCTTGCTAATGTCAATAAAGCAAAATCTGAACTTCAACTCAAATTAGTTTAAAAGTACGTATTTGCTAAATGATATAATAAATTTATTCAGTGAAGCTTTAAAAGTAGGAAGAGTCATTTATCAGGCCAGTTTATCTACCTAGAAAGACATTAGTGCTCATGTAGGTGTTTCTGTTTCAAGGGAGATTATGATTCACTGGTTGTGGCTTCTGGTACTTTCTTTTAAGATTCCTCTTTTCCCCATGCATCATCTTTCTTTGTACCCCTCAGATTTTGTACATCAAGAAGCAGTATAGAATTATAGAATCATAGAGTGGTTTGGGTTGGAAAGGACCTTAAAGATCATCAGGTTCCAACCACCTGAATGGGCAGGGACACTTCCTGCTAGAACACATTGCTCAAAGTCCCATCCAGTCTGGTCTTGAACACTTCCAAGGATGGGGCATTCACAACCTCCCTGGTCAACCTGTTCCAGTGTGTCATCATCCTCACATTAAAGAACTTCTGCCTAATGTATAACCTTAATCTCCTCTCTTCCAGTTTAAAGTGATTGCCCCTTGTCCTATTACTACGAGCCCTTGTAAAAAGTCCCTTCCAAGCTTTGCTGTAGGCCCCCTTCAGGTACTGGAAGGTTGTGCCTTGGGTGGGTCATATTGGCAGTGGCTTTCATGAAGTTGTAACAAAATTGCAAGGGTCAAAATGTAGCAGGAAGGTAATGAACTTTCAAGAGATTTACTTACTGACTTTAAGCAGATCTGTTAATCTTTGTTTGTGAATAACAGAAGCTGATGCCATTAATGCTTCATTTTTTGTACTGTGAAGTATAATCCTTCCAAAATCTCTAAACTGTATATGTATAGAAATGTGTTGCTTGTTGAATCTGGATTCTAAGGAGAAGATTAACTTGACTGATAAAACTTCCAGATATTTTTAGCTACTTTCACGTCAGTATGCCAATGATACTTAGACTCACTGCTCCTTTTTACCAGTATTTGAAGAGGATTCTGGAGAAAAGTGAGCAGAATGTGACTCAACACAGCTGACAGAAGTTTGAAACAATTAGGAAAATTAGTGAAAACTACTCGTAGAAGTATAGTAGACCTGCTGATAAAATTGTCAGGCATCTCTAGAACTCAGTATGGTTAGTTAACATTAGTTTTATAGAACCATCTGTTGTTGGCAATCATACATAAATGTTTCTTGACTGTATGATTTTGTGGGTCTTAGGACAATAGTTCCTGTTTGAGGAATTAGGCTACAGAAAAGTTTGACTAATGTTAACCAAAACAATTAGCTGGTTTTGTTGTCCCTGTCTGGAGCATCTTTGCCAAGATAAGTTTGGAAATTCAGGGTCTGAATGACCTATAACCTAGAAATATGAGCATCAGTTTTGGAACCTTTCTTAAACCTCCTAGTAACTCTTTGCTGTTGATCATTAAGTATGAATCCTTTACAAATTGAGTGTGGGTTTTAAGTCATACAGAACAGCAATTTTTTGTTTCAGAATATTTTGGGGGTTTTGTGTTTGACAACAGAACTTTCATAGGCAACTGTATTTCCTACTGTATTTCTTAAAATTACAGGAAAAAGGTAAAACAAAAAATTTCAAACTAATGACAGTGTAAAAGATGCAGTGATGTACCTTAAAAAAATGTTATGCTACTCTGCTGCAGGCTTTTTGTAACAAACTATTAGACTTATGCTTTTCTTACATTTCAGTTATGGAATAAGCTGTTTGTCAGGGCTCTGTGGGCCTGACAGAATTATACTGGTAGAAGTTCTGTTACTGGCCAAAATAAATACATCTGATATTATCTGGTGTTTGAATAGCTTTATCTTCTACAGCTCTTATAATTTAATATTGTGAAGCAAGCATCTGTCACCCTTTATTAAGTAAGAGAGCTGATATTCTGATACAGCTTTTTCTCTGTTTTTATGTTGTTCTTATTAGTGTTCTTCATGAAAAAAGCATTTTTCTCCTTTAAAAAGTTTCTCTAAGTTTTATGCATCTTTGCTCTGAAATACTGGAATACTAGAACACTGCATGTTTGATATCCATTCTGTTTGGATAAAGTAGTTTTCTTAAAAGCCTGATACTATTGCCTAAACACACATTCAGAAATGTGTAGATCTGCTGTGATTAGAAGTCACTGAAGAACATTAGACTAGGTTCTATTTTTCCTGTCCTTTTTAAAACTCTGAACATCTGATCCTAGCAAATAGCATACAGAGAACTCAGACTGTGTTGTATTATTCTCTCCTATTATCCTGATCTTTGTACAGTAGTGTAAAAAGTTAACTTTAAATAGGTAAAGCCTAGAAGCCTGCAGAGCCCGAGCCTAAGGAATCCACCAGAGCTGAAACATGTATCACTTTCACAAAGATGGTAAGCCAGTTGGCAGATCAGCTCGCTGTGTAAGCCCTGGGAGCTGCATAAATGCAGAGCCATGTGGTACTTAACTGTGTTTCACAACTCAGGCTCTGTCTGCCCAATATGGAGAAGGAAGTATTTATAAGAGTAGCCCCTTGTCTTGTCAAAACCTTTCCTCTGGATTTCCAGAGCAGCTGTGCAGTGCTTTATGCTTGATAGTTACTGTTCATTCCAGCTGGTGGAAATTACAGTCTACTTTATTGAAGCACTTTGTTGTAGTCAAAAGTACCTAGAAGCTTTTATGTATCTAATCTAGTATTTTAATATGTATTTTTATACGTATCTATAAAATAAAAAGCTGAAAAAGTATGAACCCTTGACCTTTTCAATCATGTTGTTCAGGAAGTCTTTCAACAAGGGTGCTTATTGTCTCTCTCACAGCTGTTGATAGCAAATATACCTAAATCCTTCTCAAAGATGACCGGGAAAGGTCACATCAAATAAGCAGAAATGAGATTTGTCATCATGAGATGTGACATTTTATTTTCCATAAACAAATTACAACTCTTGCTTCATAATTTGCCCCTTCAGAAAAGAGGCTTTATCTTAGCCACTGCCTCTGCTGGATGCTCCTGTGCCACTGTACTGCGAGGCAGCAAACACTTCTTAGGTAGGTAACACACAAGGCTGTTTAGGATTTCATATGTCAAAACAGCTTAGATTCTAGTACCCAGTAGATCCAGAAACACTCACGTCAAGGACTTTCAGGAAGGTGTAGTCCTTAAGAGACAATCTGCTGATGTCTCCATCAGACTCTGTTTCTCCATACTTGTGGGTAAACCTTTCTCGTTTGTTGGAAGGAGGTGACAAGGGTGGAGATGATACTTAGAGAGATTTCTAAAATAGTGAAAGGGCCATGTGTTGGTGAGCTAGGCTACCAGCCTTGTTCCTTTGGAACTAGCAGAAGTGAAACTGAAGGAGTCAGAATAGTCAGGCTATGAAAGTAACACAGCAGGAAGTTGAAAATAGAGGGAAAAATGTTGTTTGATCATTTCAGGCCCTTCCAACCGACCAGCTTAGAGCTGGGAGGAAAGGTTCTTCTGCATTTTTTTTAAGGCTGTGATGGAGGAGAGAAAGGACTTGAAAGATCACAGTATTGCTAGATTTTGTGTCAGAATATACTTAGATTTAGCTGGTTACAAAATGCAGATTAGTACTTTGCAGTATTTCTGTGCTGTCTCTTACACTTGTACTTGCTTATCTGACCTAGCTTGATATCCATTCAGTGAAAAAAATGCATTTAATTTGTAATTTTTATAAGATCATCTGCAATTAAATTATGATTACTTAAACTATGCAATTATTAAGGATATGAATTCTACACATAGTATTTTTAAAATACATTACATGCCATTTTCTTCTTAATGTTTAAAAATAACAAGTGACTTTTTTTTTTCCCAATAGAAAAAACAAAAGAATATTTTGCGGATTGGAATTCAGAATCTGGGCTCCCTGCTGTGGGGTGATGACATTTGTAGCAGTGAGACTCCTGAAGATATTCACAGCCTTACAAAATTTCTGTATGTTCTCCGAGGCCTCCTCAGAAAATCTCTGTCAGCCTGCATTATCACAGTGCCTGCTCACCTTATCCAGGTAGGAATGCTACCTTTGCTGTATTTCCTAGTTGACACATCAGTTAGCAAAAATTTAATGTTGGTGGTAAGAAAGTAAATGAAATTTTTGACATTTTGAAAACTTTTTTTCAAAGGGGCAAATTTAAAACATAACTTTACTGTAGGGTTTCTGTGCTTCTGTGGGACAGCCATGCTGCAAAATCTACAAAGATCAAATCATAAAACCATCATAGATACAGTTATGCCTTAAGTGGGTCTTAATCTTTTTTTAATAATCTCCAAAATTTCAGAAACTGTAAAAAAGCAAAGAGAATCCTGCTAGCAATCTCTTTTATTTTATTTTTTACAACATCCCTATGCATTTTTCCACTGCCTTCAAACTGTAATGTTTAGAGTTTCAGTACAAGACATTTCAGTCTTCATCTGTCATGCTCATTACGATGATGTGTGATCTTGTTCTAAAAGCCAGGAATTAAAAGATACAGATTTAATCTTTACTTCTAATATCCCCTTGTACTAGGGCCAAGAACAAACCACGTAGGGTATCAGAGTAGTTTTCCCAATTCCAAAATCAGAAGCTACTAACAACACTTTTCCTGATAGTATATATGGAGTCTTAAACATATCTTCTGGAAGGAAACTTTTTTAGCAAAAGGAAAAAATGTAGATAGTCTTTTTTTTCTGTAAGTAATCACGTAAGTTAGAAAAGCAAAATTATCATTAACAGAGAACCTGTAATTTTAGATATTATTTGGATTTGGCTATAGTAATAAAGAATTTGATAAAACCTCATGTTATGCAAATATTTTCATAGCATATGAGTTTATAATTAGATTAAATCCTATCTTTGGTATATACATGACTCTCACATCTTGCATTTTGTAAAGGTGTTTGAATGCCGGCAGATGTTATTTATCTCGATACCTGACATACTTGCTGCTTCTGGATTTTCTAGTTTTACCATTACCATCAAAAGTAAGAATATTCCTCTTGCAGTGCAAACCTCCATCTCCTCACTTAGCTATTTTTAAATATTAGATGGCAGTTTGCCTGCAGAATGACTGACAGTAAAGTTAAATGCAATGAGTAGAATTTGTGAATGTAAAACTAGCATCCTTCTTTTTACGTAATGGAATTACCTGTCCATAATTGGGGCAGAGAATCAGTTTCATTGCCCCCTTTTGTATATTATTTCAATAAGAGCTATGATCATATTTCAGAGAAGAAGTCAACAAGCATCTCTAAGAAACAAATTGAAGGACAAAGTTTTTCGTTTGTTGCAAACTTACCTGGAAAGTTGATTTTGGTTTTGTGTTTATAAATTCCATGTAAATCAATCCCCTTGGGGTTAGGGTTGAAATTCTATCTGATTTCTTTAATAACTGACTTTTTAATTTTAGGAGAATTGTTTTACAGTAATTGCTAGAATATTCTAAATACATTTTTTAAAGAAACATTATTTCCAGAATCTTTCCTTTGCAGCATGAGAGCATTGATATTTATTTATTTTAATTCTTAAACTTCATGTATCCTTCTTTAAGCACTAAACTGTGGAGAAAACTGTCATTAGGAGGAGCAAAGCTGCTTGAGGGTTCCTTATACCCCACATTACTCAGTTCCCAGAGCCCTGCTGTGTAGTTGTTCCACTCTTCAAGAAGCCTGTTAAAGAGCCCCTGAGAGCATGTGTACAGCCCTCCATGTTAATAGTTAATTGGTGAGGATGGCAAGATGAGAGGACAGCCGAACATGTGGTCTCTCAGGCTCAAGCCGTAGACAGACCTTTCGTTATAATAACAGCAGCTGCTCACATTCTCACAACCCAGCTACTCACCATTCTGTTGCTGAGGTTTCTTGCTGGATTGAAAAAAAGTAAAGAAAATATCTTTTCTTTCCAAGAGAGTAAGAGTGGGATTTTTTTTATTTATTTTTTTTTCCTAAGTACATTTCTGTATATGTATTTAATTTGAGAAGAGGAAGTTCTAGCTTATGCTTTCTCTGTTGAATCTGAAAGTCACTGCTCTGAAGGCATAGAAAATGTACACTGTTTTTCTGAAGATATAGTAAATTCCACATTTATTCCCTGAGCTACTGTTTCTGTATTTTCTATGGTATATTTTGCCTCCCAACTGCATTAATTAGGTGGTCTGCAAGTAAATTCTTCACATGCATAATTTCCATGAAAGTAAATATGAGTTCAAACTCACATTTTAATCAAAGTTTTGTCTGCATAACATACAGAAAAAAAATAGTTTCATTTTTTCCTGCTTTGTCTAAGAAAAATAGATTTTTAGTAGTGATTCATACCATGTTTTGTCTCTGTCAACCCCAAGTACTAGCTATTTCAGTGAAGAGATAAATCTCACAATTGGTAGTACTTGTTTTCAACAGGGACAGTCTTTCCAACCCAGACTAGTTGTTTTGTTTAAGCATAGTATGTGAACAATGCATACACACACACACATACATATGGAATATAGAGAGAGAGTTTAAGTTTGGTTTATTTTGTATATTTTGCCAAAAAACTTTGCATGTTTTACTGCGACAGGGAGTTCCACAAATTAAATCTACCTGGTTTCTTTCTTTTTCAGAAAGTTTAATTTTGGCTTCTCATAAATTGTATCATTCTTCTTGGCTGATGGGACAATAAGATGAGGCTCCCTATTTTATCTTTTCTGTATTCTGATTGTGGTTTTTTTTATTTTTCTCATGCCTCCTTAATCTGTTTTTAAGCAGTCAGTTTCCTTCTAATGATATTTTACTTTCTTACAGTAACATAATACAATAATGCTGTTATTGTTAGTTCACTTTTAATACATTCTAAAATCTGCTTTTTCTCTTTGATGACTACTGAACATTAAACTGTATTTTTATTCTTGACGCTTTTCCATCTGTGGTACATATCTACCAATGTGGCTCTTTCATTTTTCCAGCTATTAATTGGCTTGGGTTTAATAAACTTGCATTGCATTTATCTAAATCTGATGCTCGTTCACCCAGTTTGATGGGACACTGAATTTCTTCACAGTCTTCTATAAGGCTGTATTTTGGTAAAAGACACAAATTTACAAAAGACACAAATTTGCAAAACATCTGAGTTTTTTCAGAATAACTTAAAGAAATTGTAGCCCACAAAAGAACACAGATTCTTTGTAATTTATTGATGAAATTTCTAGGGTAAACAGTGCATGAAGAAAAAAGAAAAGTATCTTTTCTCAGTCACAAAAATAGGAATACATTATCCTCGAAGGATTTCAGGAGTAAGATTTCAGAAACATGACACTAAAAACTTACCCAGTGATGAATTTTATTCAGATGATATGTGACAAGTTTTACTTGATTGATATTTTCTACTTATTGAACATACTCTTATCTTACGCTGTCTGTCAGGTAATAAATATTGAGATACTTACAAGTATGATTAAAATGGTTGATGGAAGGTTATTTTTCAATCTTTCTATTGCTTCTTGAAAAGGTATTATGCCTATGAAATGAGATGGTGGATTTGAAAAGGGAAAATTACTTCCATTTTTAAAATCTAGCATTGATCAAGGAGGGCAGGCTGACGAGGGATTTCATTTGTTGTTACACTTTCCAAATTTAAATAATATTATAAAAAACAAGCAAGGACTCTTCTACATATTAATAATCTGTGCACTTTAGTGCCTATTTTAAAAATAAATAAAAAGCTTTTGTACTACAGGGTGGAACTTAAAGGACTTTAATGTCACAGGTTTATACTTGCAAAAGCCCTGAATTAGAATTTAAATCTTTTCCTGTAGTATTTTCTTCTTTTTCTTTAGTTACTAGAAATCTTTGACACATCCAGAATCCTATTTCCCCAAAAATAATGTTTGTAATTCTGTTCTATCCTTCCCAATTTTGTATCACTTAAGTAGCATCTTTTTGAGTAGATTATTATTTTCACTAGGAGAAAGTGTAACACTTTTATTAAAGCCATCCTTTATTTTGAATTTGAAGCTGTATTACTGGTAAGGACTAACAACCATATTAGTCAGCATGTACCAAGGGAAATTAATTGACTAATGAAAAGTCAGTATGAATAAGTCTTGTTACAGACTCTGAGAACCTGTCCTCAGAGTCTGAAGTTCTGTTTAGCAAGGTATTTTCATTATTTCATCCAGTATGTTAAAAATTAATTTCCTACAATATTAATGTTTTGATGCTTTGAATTCACCGAAGTGCATAAGTTACTGTATGTTTCAGTGTAGAAAAATTCAGAAACAAACCTTTTCACATCCATCCAGTGTTCACACTGAGTAATTTAGCAGCTAAACTCAAAGTCAAGCCATCGAGTGCTTTAGAATCCATTGCTAATATAGGATTATAAGATGTGAACTTCTATAGCTTGTGAATTTCTCACAGTTTGAAATCTTTATTCCTATGAAAAGAGCTAAGAGTGATTGCCTGCCTTAGAACTCTTAACTTCTGAGAGTTCACGAGTGAAAAATGCTGAATAACCTTTAAATGTATTTGGTGAGGTAGCCACTGAACACAAATTTGTATTGAGATCAAATGTCAGGTAGTTTCTATGTCATAATTAAGCAAGCTTTCAAAATTTTCTTCAAACTAGAAGCTATGAGCATGAGATGGTCTTTATGTCTATTGGAGGTTTTTTACTTGCCTTTTGATGTTGCTTGGGCTTTTTGTTATATGTGAGAAATACAATTTAAAAACCACACAAATAAATTTTTACTGTCATGAGTTTATGACAGGTATTCTTGAGTTATCAGATATTTATATATAGTCTTTTCAGATATTTATATTCTGGTTTGGGTGTTTTAGACATAAAAGCTCAGAGAAGTATACAATTCAAATGTAACTCCTAAGTAATCTTGGCAGTAACTAATCATGTTTTCAGTTTCTGTTATTGTGGACAGCATTTGCTAATCAAGTTGCAGAAGAAATAGAAATATTTTGTTTCATAAAATAAGTTTATGGTTGCCAACAGGCTGTATTCTATCTCTATCGTTTCTAATTTGGTAACGGTTACACATTTGA